CAGCATTTGAGATGCGTGTTCAAGTCTGATGTTACATGATGTATACTGCGTCAGTTTCACAATGCTGCTTGTTTTTGCATTTATGTCAAAAGTAAAGTTTTTAGAGACGACACCAACAATATACCTGGAAACACTCAAAACAAAAATTGTTCAGATTGAGCGAGTTGTAATGACAATGTAAGCTTAAGTTTATTTGTTATTTATATATCCAATGTGTTTCAGAAATAAACCAAGGACTCAAATACAATAACAAGCTATTTGTATGATGTAATTATTATTTTTTATCTATCTAGATCCATAATTCTTTTCAAAATTTGAAAGTGACACTAATTTTCGTTCACAAAGGGAGATAATTTATGAATTGTCAAGTTATATGTTGTCATATGGAACAGGCCACATACAAATAATGTAATCCTTTTCTATCCTTTTAAATTAAGTAGAGCTAATATACTGATTTGTCTGATTTGATTTAAATCTGGCTGAGGAGCGAAATATCTACATTGTAATGTGTGAAATCTATTCTTGAACGTAGTTCGATGATGTTTGGCATGTCTGATATCATTGCTGAGGGTCATTTAATAGTATTTGTCCAGTATTTATGTTTTTTTAATATAAAACTGGTAAATGTACACTTAAGTTTTATAAAGACCAACATCAATTATTATTTTAAAATCAGTCCATTGAATGTAAAATTCAAAGATTATTTTGGTGAACATGTCTATTTTATATTGGTCAGTAAATTTCATTCATGTCAACATTTTCTGCAAAGATATATTGGAAAGTGAATTTTGGACAATGTTCAAAATATGTTATTATTGACGAAATTTGAAACCCAAACGCGCATGGGAACCCATTTTTTACTTGATTTTTCAAATCGTCATTCTCGAAAATACAATACCAAAATATGTGCTTAACTTTTGCTGTCAAAATATATAAATAATTCTATATTTAATGGCATACATCTATGCATTTAAAGAATGCAGTTATTCAACAGACAATATTTAATCACTTGTTATCAAATATTTGTCTTTCAATAATATAGATAACAGGTGTTGTTTTTAAAACAAAACAAAATACAATTACTTTTGCCAGAAAAACATTAAATTTACTCTTTAAACAAATATACTATATACATATTTGATCAGATGTATTTTCTTGTTAAATCAATAAATTTTAGATGTAAAACCTGATGAGAAACGCTTGTAGTTTTGCACTTCGTCACATATGTAGATTGATAAAATTTTATAAAATGCGAAAATAAAGATTAAGACATTGTCACAAATGCGATCCAGAAAATATAACAGTGGAACTCTGCGCTTTATGAAAACTGTAATACTGAGCAAGGTCTCGCCGGGCGAATACGAAATGAAGCCACTCTCAGAGTATGAACTAAGATAAGCTGCCCCCGAGTTATCAATAAAGTCACGGTCATTACTATAGAACCTGCCCACACCTTCCGTTTTTATCCTTCCCAAATTATCGAAATTTCACGCTTCTTCAGCATGGACTCCATAGTTATGTGAAATCTTTGATGTGTTCTTCGTGTTTTTGAAGTGTCAATTTGAATCACACAGTTGAACCAAAAGAAATGTCAATGTTCGAGTGTACAGCAGATTATTTGTTTGAAAAATATCAATTGCAAAGTATGCCGCCTTCTTGGATGAAGATAAAAGAAATTTACCATAGATATGAGGCTAGATTTGTGACAGTCTTACGATATCTTAGGGATACGACAGTTTCGAAAATAGGCTACGATAGCCTATGATTGCCTTACGACAACTTTACAATATTTTAGGGCTATGATCGTTCGGAAAATCTTGGCCCAGTTCAGCATAGTTCTCACAAAAAACAGCCAACATTGGTGTGACTTTCACCTCCAACAGGGCTTTTAAAAACACTTTACAAGCCAACATTAAAGTTTCGATCCAGCTTACCCCAAACCCCAGGGGAGGTGTGTATGAGATCTCATGCAAATTCGGAGACTTCATGCCACAATAGTAAGAGAAAAGAAGACCTTTATTAAAAAATCTGACATGATATCTCAGGGATCGATTTCGCTACATCAAGCTGCATCAGTGCAGGTAAAACATTTTATCATATAATGGGTAGGTTTCTCGGCAGGATAAACATGATAAAGCCAACAGATAAAAACGTGTCCGTTTGGGTCATATGCGGATAGAGATGCAAATATCAAAGGTCAAGTAGGGACTTCTTTCAGTGTTTATAAACAAACATGGCATCGCCCTCGACATTCAGCGATCGAGTCAGAATTACCCATCGGGAATCTGGATAAACTACAGAGATAATTGCTTTCATTATCAAAAGAACAATCTAATATACTGAAAATCAGTGTCTAACTGCGACGTAGCTAAGGCATTTTATAAGTTTTGGCAACTTTTGAGATATAAATTTCGACACAGTCCACGAGGCCTAGCCAAGTGGGATCAGAAGCCATATCTGTACTTATAGACCTCTTTGGCTTGAACCTTTCTCGACAAATTAAAATAGTTTGAATTGTTACCTTGTTTCGTTTTGTCGCTGTGTGTACTTCTGACTACACTTCTTAACGTTATGACAGGACAGACCGACTGTCAACAACGTCTGACCGTGGCCGTGACGTCTCATACACTAGGGTTAGAGTAGCTTCCCCTTGACAAAGGGCAGTTAGTCTAGCGGACAGACCGATGGATTGCCGCGAAAGACAATTAAGAACAATTGTTGTTTTGCGTGTATGTTGCTTCGCCACTGTATAAGAAAGAGATTTCTGTTGGAACTATTTTTGCTACTGTCAATGTCCGACTGACACATCACTTACCCTGTGACGTAATAAATATTAATGTGTGCATTCCAGGAAAACTCGCAATGTTTAGGTAATGTTTGTGAGAGAGGGAAAGCGATTTTGAAGCACAGAATTAAAGAATGGCATTATATGATAAAGAGGTTATCACGCTTGTGTTTGGGGATGGTAAATATCTTGTATTAGGAATAAACACTATGTATTTAGCTCGCCAAGGCTCGCTAAATACAATGAAAAGCCATATCCGGATTTCCTAAAAATAAAATACTAGACCACATTTTCAAGTCTATTATTTCTTTGAATTTATTATTCAAAATTACTGAAAATACAGTGTTTCAATATTTGATAAAATGGTGCAGCCAATATTTTGGTGATGCAGCCTGATTGATCGCTTGGCTGCACATTGGCCGGGTGGTAATACAGAAGGAAATTGTACCCTGGATCTGCCCTTTCGGAACATCTCATAAAAAATCATGGCAACAAACCCAAGATTCCCCATACCAAAGACGTATATACATCTTTGCCCATACTAACACCAGTCACTGGAAATAGTGGAAACTATTGAACTTTCAAGAAAGTAGCAAGCCATGTATTTTATGCTGGAATATTGCTAAAAGTGACATAAAACCATACTCCCTCACTCACTCTTCGGCATTGTTGTTTAAAGTTTGTATTCTTTAACATCAATTCTAGGTTTGCAAACATGTTCTCTTCTCAGACTGATAACATTCACATTTTCTACCATATCACTGGATCACTGGAAATCATCAGGTGTTCATTAAAAGGGTAAGAATATCCTGCCACTCACACAGTTTGCATAAAAAGATAAGTTTTTGAATTTGGCCAAGAAGTTTAACTAAAGCTTCGGGTAAATTATAATGATCTCCACTCATTTACCAACCTGAACAAGAAACATGGGAGGCCAGTGAGACCACCTCATCAGTTTCATATTTAGATATATGCATAACGATTCAACATTAAGGGGATAAAACATGAATTGTCCAGCTGTGATCATATGGCTGATAAAACTGCACCCAACTACATACACACATACGCATGCACATCGCTATATATGTGAAAATTATCTTGAATGTGACGTTCAACCCAATTTCACATCATGCCCAAGCAAAGACATTACTGATCAATGTGTCAAAATAATCCCAGGGCAGTAAAGGCGATGTATTTGATGTGACATCTGAGATGTGCAAGCATGGTTTCAAAGTCCTTCAAAGTATATAATGCGGGGGGATATAGCGATCAGCCAGTCTGTCTGTCCGTCTGTCCGTAATCATTTCCTTTTCCGGGGCAGAATTCGAAAACCATTCAGTGTATTTGATTGGTGCCTTTTGATATTTTGGGATTTTTCTCATTTTTATTTTTTTAAATATTTATGGAATGAAGTTGGACATAGACTCGATTGGGGATGGGGTTCATTTCCGGGGCAGAATTCGAAAACCATTCAGTGTATTTGATCAAAACTTGGCAAATCTATCAGGCACATACTAAAGTGGTGCCTTTTGATATTTTGGGATTTTTCTCATTTTTATTTTTTTAAATTTTTATGGAATGAAGTTGGACATAGACTCGATTGGGGATGGGGTTCGTTTCCGGGGCAGAATTCGAAAACCATTCAGTGTATTTGATCGAAACTTGGCAAGGCAATCAGGCACATACTGAAGTGGTGCCTTTTGATATTTTGGGATTTTTCTGATTTTTATTTTTTTTAAATTTTATGGAATGAAGTTTGACATAGACTCAATTGGGGAACGGGTTCATTTCCGGGGCAGAATTTGAAAACAATTCAGTGGGTAAACAATGTATGCTTCTTAAAGAACATTCAACTGTTGACTCATTACATACAGAATTGCACATTTACTAGTGGTTACTTTACAGACAGCTGCCGGGGGGATATTATTATTCAAGGCACCTGTGTATATGAACTGTGGACAGATTTCAGTTATGAATGTTTCCACAGTGATTATGGTGTATTTTATGATTAAAGAAACATAGCAACACATGGAGAATTTTGTTCTGATGGTATTTTTGGACAATAATGTTATCTGGAGCAGGATGTAGTTAGGCTTGCGGGTGAAAACAAATTTGAGAATAAAATAATTATGACCTAATTGAAGACTTTTACAAGCAACAATTTGTTAATATCTGTATCTTGCAAAAGTGAAGATGAAAGAGTGGGAAGATGTACCTTCACTTAAATGTTAAAAGCACGACGTAGAAACTGTATCCATGTTGGAATTCCATTCGTCTTTGGCTTGCTCACTGACGCCAGGAGAGATGGACAAAGTCTGTACAATTGTCTAACTGGCCACAGGAGAACATGGGCCCAGCCAGGGGAGATGCAGTTCACATAGCAGGAGGCCAGCACGCCATTGACAACAATGGTTCCCGTCATTGTGAATGGTGCATACAGACCTTTTTCAAAGGATGTACTTATTCTTGTCACCTTTTCTTCCTTCATAACATTGCAATGTTCTGTGAGGAGAATGTCCCCAGTTGCAACATCTTCTGCTGCAGTTTCTACCCAGCACTGGTTCTTCCTTGTGTACAAGTAGTGATCAGGTGAGAGTGTTATTGTGTGATTTTCAGTTTCTATATTTATAAACTTGGCAACAGAAGCCTCCTGCAAGTGTCCAAACAAATAGACTGTGCTGAAGTCATATCCAGTTTTGCCCAACGAAACAAGGACTCTTTGCCCGATCTGCAGACTTGAAAGAGGGATTGTCTCACCAGTCTCAAGTGAGACTCTTGCATCTGCTGGAAAACACTCTCCACTCTTTGCCACTACAGTGTCTGCTACCTTGGCAGCAACCTTTTTTGCAATAACCTTTTTATCCTGGTTCATTTTCTCTTCAATCTCCCACTGTTTCTTAGCTTCTTCAAAGTATTCATTACTGTATTTGTCTTTGTTGCCAATTTTGTCAATAGTGTTGACAATTTCGATCAACTGTTCTCTGAGTTTTCCTGGATCAGAATCCATATTGTTTATCAACACCCACCTCTGTTTGCATTCAGCTAGATACTGTTTTAGATGTCCAGATTGCGACCCCAAATAGTCTTTAAAACTAGTGTGTTCTTTAGTTTTTTTACGTTTCTGCTCAGTGACATATGTATCACCATAGGTAAAAACGAAAACAGCATACTCCATAAGTACTTTCTTTCCAAACATTTTTTTCATCAGTTCTATTGCCATGACTTCCTCTGAAGTCATTTTTGTGTTCCACCTCAGTGTTATAAGAAATGCATCAAATCCATCTGAACCATAGGCTATTGCTTCACCTATTTCTAAAAGAGTTTCTCTTGGATGCCTTGTGTCCATAGTTCCAGGTGTGTCAACCACACAGATAGTTCTTTCTCCAATTGTCTGCTGTTTCTTGTTACAGTCTTTGGTACCCGAGGAAGAAGACGAGAAGACAGTGCACCAGTCCTCCCCTAGAATAGTGTTTGCCAAAGAACTTTTCCCATGTCCAGTTTTCCCCAGGATGCATAAAGTAAGATCACTTCCTTTTGGCATGTCCTCCTCTCGAGTTTTCTGCGTGAAGAGAAATACCGGTTTAAGAAGAAAAAATTAAACTGTGTTCCATAGCTCACCAAGTTAAGTTGTATTATCCACCACAGTCTGTTGCCCGTTTTCAGTCTAAGGATATAAGTTGTAAATATGTGCCCTGTGTGATACTGCGACATCATCTCTGTGGAATAAGTTCAATCAACTATTATTATCCCCCACCCAATGAAGTTGGCGGGGGATATAGAAACGGGCTCTGTCCGTCCGTCCGCCCGCCCGCCCGTCATGTTTCATTTCCGGAGCATAACTCAGAAACCTTTCAATTTATTTTCATGAAACTTTGCAGGTCTGTCAGGTACATGCTGAACTGGTGCCTTTTGCTATTTTATTTTTTTAATTTTTTTTGTTTCCATGGCAACAAGATGGACTTAGGTTCTGTGAGAGTAGGGTTCGTTTCCGGAGCAAAACTCATAAACCATTAAATATATTTTCATGAAACTTTGCAGGTCATTCAGGTACATGCTGAACTGGTGCCTCTTGATATTTAGAAATTTTAGATATTTTTATTTTTTACGTTTCAATGGCAACAAGATGGACTTAGGTTCTGTGAGGGTAGTGTTCGTTTCCAGAGCATAACTCATAAACCGTTAAATATATTTTCATGAAACTTTGCAGGTTAGTCAGGTACATGCTGAACTGGTTTTGTCAGTTTGTACTTCCATCATGTTTTTTTGTGGAGAAGGTTTCATTTTTTTCTTGAACTTCATAGAAATTGTGCCTTGCAGCATTTTATTTTGTTTCTTCGGTATATTTTGCATTTACATCAAATAGATGCTCCCCTGCTGCCTTTTACTCCTTACAAAATTTTGAATATTTTCAAATGTATGTGTTTGTGTGATCAAATGTCACTATTGTTGACATAATATACACTTCATTTCCTGGGCAGGAGACTTGGCCATGTTAGTGGCAAACTCTTCTCTTTTTACAATTTCCATGACAAGTTCCACCTCGGTTAAAAAAGGTTAGGGTTTGTTTCGATTTAATTATGTCATAAATTCCGCAACAGGGGCGGGGGATATAGCCAGGTTAGTTGCAAACTCTTGTAATAATTTGCACCATGAAATTAAGTTGGCAGAAACTGGCATGGACTACCAGTTTGCTCGAGTTTAGTTACCCTCCAATAAAATCTCATGTTACAACTGTGAAAATACTCCAGGGGAGGTTACATAAAAAATGCAATAGGTAGGTGTATATTATGAATTTCCTTTCGTCAAATCTTTGCTTCCTTGTTGCTGAATCTGGATGTTATGAATGTGTTAGCTTACGTTTTTTTATTTAAAATGAACTTAACTTTCCTATTTATTATGGGTGACTACTGGTCTGGAAATCACTATTGCGATAACTATTGATATTGAAAGAAACTATTGCGATAACTATTGATATTGCAAACAACTATTGCAATGAATATCGATAGTTTTCAGTGTATCATTTTAGATGGATTTTAGAGTTGAATCAAACCTTGGAACTGAAGTTTCCTTTGAATGTGATAACCATAACAACAAATAACAAGAGTCATCCGAAGATGACATATCCCCCTGACGTGGCATGTTGGTAAACTGTGTGTACCTTCAAATGTATTTAGATTGGCAAGGAAATCTTTTTCCTTGATGCCAAAACCAGAAATATAATGAAGGTTATAAATATTGGTTCATGTAGCTCAATTTCTGATGATCTCATGAAATTGTAATAACAATAACTTCGCAGATTCGCATATGAATAGCACTGTAGTAGCCTCATGACACAAAGGCATAAAGAGAATGTACTAGGTTATGTAGCTCACATCATATATAGTATATGATATCGGTAAATAGTACACCTTAGAATTATATGTCAGGGGCTACAAAGTAAAAAGACTAAAATCTATAAATAACAAACTGCACTACTAGTGAACATGATTGATATGTGCATAAAGTTTGGTGAATCTCTGTCTCATGGTTTAGAAGATATGCCCCAGATGAGGACATTACCCTAAGTTCATAATTTTTCAATTTAAATTGAAAAAAGAAAGAAAAAGAAAAAATCTGTTAATAGCAAAGGCACCACTACATAAGCTGCTTGATAGGTGTAAAAACTTTTGAGAAGCTAAGTTGTATGGTTCGGGAGATATGGTCCGGACAAGAGCACTACCCTCAAATTCCCTAAGTTCATCATATTTCCATGGAAACGACAAAAATATAACATTCTAAAAATCTCTAAATAGCAAAAGGCACCTCTACTGAGCCTGATTGTTAAGTGTACAAAATTTTGCGAAGCTAGGTTGTACTGTTTAGAAAATATGCTCCGGACAAGAGCACTACCCTCAAATGTCCTAAGTTCATCATATTTCCATGGAAAAAAAATAAAAAATTCTAAAAATCTCTAAATAGCAAAAGGCACTGCTACTGAGCCTAATTGTTAAGTGTACCAAGTTTTGTGAACCTTGGTTGTACGGTTTAGGAAATATGATCCGGACAAACAATGATTACAGACATACAGACGGACGGACATACTGATGGCTATATCCGCTGGTCATTATATGTCGGGGGCGATAAAAAGTAAAGTTTGAGATATGACTGATTTGTTTTTTCTTTACCCAGAAAATTTAAGAAAAAGAAACTTCCACATTACCATGTGTAAATTACTACCACTCATGATCAAAAGAAAAACAGATTTGAACAGCATTGCATGTACAGTAAAATCCCGTTAATCCGACATTGTTGGTTGCATATGATTATGTTGGATTAACAAAATTAGGTAGTATCAACGTTCGTGATCGAAAATCTGACAACTACACGATAGATAACGATTCAAAGATGTTATAATAAAACAAAAGGAACAAGAAAGAAGTGAGCAAAGCTCACATACCCCTGTTATCCCCACTGGTCAACAACAAATAGTAAATAGTTTGTTAATTAATGAAATATTACATATTTCTAACTGATTTTAACTTCAATTTTTTAAAAACTAAGATTGAGTTCCAGTGATAATTGACCCCCCCCCCCCCCCCAAATCTCCCATGTTGCCAGTGTTCACTACGAGGAAGTAGATCACCATGAACACCATTGAATAAAAATTTGATTGAGGAGTTACATAAGAAGAATTATCAAAAGGACCAAAAATTGTTGATATAAAAACACATAAAAAATGGAACAATATCATATAAGAAAATCAATAAATTAATAATTTCCATAATTTCATAAATTCAAACTATCACAAAGCACAGATTCTTATGATGATCTACATGTGTGGAAACAATTTTTGAAAATATATTACTATTAGCTATACAAAACCAGTCATCAAAATTTCTAAATTCCATCATGTTTCCATGAAAACAGCAAAAGAGAAAACTTTCAGAATCTTATCAAAGATAAAAAACATGTAGATAAAAAAGATATAGGCCGTACAAAACACCCACCCTAAAAGTTTAAGTTTCTTAATGTTTCCATGGAAACGGCAAACATTAAAAGTTCAGAATCTTCAAACTAGCAAAAGGCACAAGTACTCATTGTGGTTAATGTGTGTAGAAAGTTTGGTGAAGCTAGGGTGCATAGTTAAAAAGATATAGACCATACAAAACACCCACCCTAAAAGTTTAAGTTTCTTAATGTTTCCATGGTCACATTTCCTTGATAAATGTAGGCATCATCTGTGACCACAGTGTCTCATGGAACTCGTTGTAACAGCAGTAAAAGCTTCTGGCTGACTGATGTGGAAAGAGTTAGAGAAATCAATTGTATTCCACAATTCTGCTGTCACAGGATATTTTCCTGAAATTTCCACTCAGTGCAGAAATATACCTATCTTGCAGAAAGTCACTTTTTGTGCAGAAATTGGGCAGAAGCCGGTTCTTAACATGTAAAAGTTGCATAGGCTTTCTGAAAAGAACAACCGTTATTTGAATTGTACTTTGTTATAATTAAACCATTCCAAATTATTCTTTGAGTTTTTGAGTTATTTTGAAATAAGCAAACAATTTACAAACAATTTTTTAACATTAAGCACGTTGCAGTGATCATTGACACCTCTTAACCCGAAATGGATTGTGTTGTAGAGCCATAGATACATTGTTATGCTCCTTGGATTATTGATTTCAATGGATGCAGACTGCCACAGGAATTCTCCTTGCTAAGTTGCCACGCCCTTTTTTCTTCAATTTTCCTCTCCTTTAATACCTCCCATGATCTTGAAAATTCTAAGGATGACGTGAGGGAATAGCCATACTCCCTTCATTTTAGTGATCTCTCATTGCTGCTCCGAAGCCCTGTGAGACTGTTTGGTTCATAATATTCCCATTTGTTTTTCTAACACTGATGGAAAACTTGCTTAGATGTCAAGTGCGTTTGGGTGTATTTCATGCATTTGGTGAATTTCATTTTGGACTTTTGGAATTTTATCAAACAGTTCCAAATCATACAAAGTTTTCTTGGCTGCGTTTTTGTTCTGATTGTCTAGGATCATATCATCAACCATGCCGTCCTCAACAGCGACAAATCTACCTTGACCATCTTTAGGCTTTGTGTTTAGTTGTCTGCTTTGCCATGCTCAACGATGGTGTTTCGATGACGAAATGTTGTTCAAAGGAAATATTAGATAATCTGCATTCATCACAGTCAAATTCAAATTCAGTACCATCAACCTGTAACCTGTATTATCCATTTGCCAACACTGATATCACTGTAGCACTCCCCCTTTGATACATTGTATCCAACATCAAAGGTATCCATGTTGTTTTTATACACCTGCTGTCAAAAAAAGTCCCACTTCAGTTATCTCATTTACATACTTATGTCATTGGGGTAAGACTCATGTTTTTATGTCATAAGCTTATTTCATGGATAAATGCTTTAGTTAAATTTTATATATATAAAATTAGGAAATATTAATAAAAAAAATGTTTGAATAGAATGTTGATTGAACTTGATTCTGATCTTGATAAAATGCTCTTGGGCGGAAATATATTTCTGAGTGAGAGAATAAATCCCTTATAA